ATGGATGGATGGATGGATGGATGGATGGATGGATGGATGGATGGATGGATGGATAATAGTAAGAATGCAATGAAAAATGTAAGATAAAAAAGAATGGCACAAAATTGGATAAAAACAAGGTGCAATGGTTTTAGAGCAAAAATAAATATCTGGTTGAAGTGACTATTGACTGATTAATAAAAACATACTCCAGGGTTGATTAGCCACGTCTGGAGCAGGATAAATCCCCATGGTAGCGCTCACCTAAACCAAATCAAGGACAGATCATAGCCAGAAAACTTTCTCTTATGAAATAACTCCCTAACTGAACTGGTCTTGTGATGGAACCCATTGTACCACTCCATAGCACAATATTTCATAAAATTAAGCTGCCCAGAACATGAAAATAAACATTTAGGAATGTAATGTACACAGAAAAAAAAACACACACAACACTTAAAAAACACAACACGTTTAAAAATTATTTTCGTATGTCTCGTTGTTACATTACCCACCTAAAAAAATTTCATAGTTTTGAGTGACGCATCCTCACCCACCCCTTCACAGGAAAATTTACCAAACGGAACCAATGTGTAAGAGTTGTATCCCACCGGAACCTTTTCAGAGTAACACGTTCCTTGGTAGTTATGTCGCCGGTGCCGTTCAGATCGTCCACGATTATAGTTATAAAAACTCAGTTAAGATAACTCTTTCTGTAGGTATTTTAGTCCAAATACACCATCGAGAGATTATGTGTTTCGTTAGGACGACGTAATCGTTGCAGAATTTGTTTATTTTGAGGTAAAGTAAGTTTACTACCGACTTCACCCTCAGGCTTTTTCTTCACTGATTGTTAGCTAACATCAGGCTAAATTCATAAGAACCGCGTGTAACGGAGGATATATTCGCATTATGAGGCGGACCATATATATTCAGGACTTTGTGATGTAGTGGACTGGATCTTTTTTATTTCCTCATACGCATCTTTAATAGTCTTCACACTTCCGTTAGTTCTTCTGTTTCTACAGATCGAGTAAAGGCAGAACAGATTCTCCTAAATAAGTGGTTCTTTCTCATTTTTTCATATTTTATCTGTGATGTGATATTAATAAACATTGTGTTTTACCAGTTACCTGTTCGAGCCATGACATCTCTGTCAGAAGAGGTGCTGCTGGTGGTGAAAAAGGTCCGTCAGAAGAAGCAGGATGGCACTCTGTATCTGATGGCTGAGAGAATAGCCTGGAGTCCAGAAGGCAAAGACCGCTTCACAGTCAGCCACTTGTACGCAGATATCCGCTGTGAGTCCCTAATCAAAAACTGCCCTAAAGTACTCTGTGCTGGTGACGCTTACAAGATTCACGTTACTTTTGCTCTGTGCAGGTCAGAAGATCAGCCCTGATGGCAAAGCCAAAATTCAGCTTCAGCTGGTCCTTCACACCGGCGAGAGTACCACATTCCACTTTGTCAATGAGAGCACTGCACTCAAAGATCGAGAAGCTGCCAAGGAGCTGCTGCAGCAGCTACTGCCAAAGTTCAAGAAGAAAGCCAACAAGGAACTGGAGGAGAAAAACAGGTACGACTGTTGGCTATCAACTCATAACGCAAGCATTTAAAAGTTTTTTTTTACATGACTACCACTGTGCTGACCAAGATTATTGCATAATAGTTTAATTTTAAATACATAAGGGTAACTTAATGGAACTAACAGAATTGGTCTAATATTTAACCTCTTTCAATTCTGCAAGAATTGCACAACATAGAATGACAGCTGTTACTGAACCATACGGAGCATTCCAAAATAATCAGAATCACTCTAAATGGCTCTTGAACTGAGCTATAGATACCTTAAAACATTTGTGTTCGGTAAACGCTTATTTGTTCATCAGTGTGATAGTGTGCATATGTTAGAGAAAAGACTGCATAGCCAGTGGAATGGCATCACATTTATAATAACTGCAGTGTAACTGAGAGGAAGACTCTGCAGAATGTGGTGAAAATGGATACGAATCATCAAGATCTCCCCTTCTTGAAGAACATTTTAAGGATGGATCTGAGAAGAATGTATTTGGTATTGTCTGTGATTGTTGTCATTCTTCCCATGATGTGTTTAATGTCTTGTCATTTGGATGAAGATGTCTTACTGAATGAAGTAGAACCAGAGTGTAAAACAGCTTCATCCCACAGACAATAACTGTCAGTGACGAGCACTTTTTTGTAGCACTCACTCTACTCAAGAGGAGCACAATTTTGTTTCATTATATATTTAAATAATAATAATTATTATATATATATATATATATATATATATAGATATGAATAATCCTAGTTTATTGTATTGTGTGGAAAAGACATGGATTATTATATACACTTTAGTGAGATGTCATTCAAGACTGAAGACACTGACTGTATTTATTTATAATTAACTTTATCAATAATCGTGACAGGCAATTCAGCCTTAGTAAGGAAGAACACATGATTGATCAGGCAAATTAGCAATGGCTGATTTAAAATCATTCATGAACATTCTGTGGAAATATATGAACAGAAGAGGATTGTTGAGGCACATTTTTCTTGCATGAGTGAAACAACTGCAGCTCAACAATACCAGTGGTCAGTGAGAGTTGTTCCAAACACGGGTGGCAAAGCAACACTGTAAAACAATGCTTACACTTCCTTTTACCATCTTGTTTGGAAATATTTTCAATAAATCATGTTGCACCTTTCTAAATCTTTTTTTGTCTCCATGTGCAGCAGTTGAAGTAGAATAAATAATGGATGGTATACTTGTTGATACGTCAGTTCTCTGGTTTCATCTGGTGCATCAGTGAGAGAAACTTTTCACAAGTGGGAAACATTTGAGACCGCTGTAATTCTCAGGAGTTTATCTTAAAAGTTTAAATTGTAATCTGTGCACAGATTTTCTTTTTTTTTTTATCTCAAAATTGACAGGCCAATAAATGCAACATTCATGTCAGTAGTACAAATGAAGAAAATCTGCAGTCTCCATTTGAAAAGTAGCTTGGGTTAAAAGGTTTGGAGAGTTTCATATGAACAACATTTAGAGATTCCAAGTACACCGTAGTATTTGCAGCAAAAAGGCAGTAAATGAAAGTAGTCAAGGTGTTGCGATGGCCCAAAGTCCAGACTTCAATCAAATGAAAAGTCTTTGGCAGGACCAAGAAAGAGCTGTACATAAACATATGTCATTTAACAGAAGGGATGTTGCTGAGGGCCACAATGACTTCATGATGGGAGAAGTTGACAAAGATCCATAAAAGATAGCTTCAAGTTATAGCTGCTTACGGTGCTTCTACAAGTTACTGAACTGCGGCTGTGTTTATTTTTTACATGTTGGTTTTGAATGTTGGCTTAATTTGTGTTAATGATGCGTTTTTATCAAGTGTATTTTTACATTTGCAGTTTAATTTTCATAATTCTAAAATTATGAAGATCAGATTGTTTAAACTTTATCCCAGTAGATTAGTTTAGATTTGAGTGTATTATTTTTTTTATTATGACTGTAAGACTTCCTGCTTCGATGATCCTAAGAGACAACTCCGTCAGTAAAGTCAGATTGAAGCAGCTTTGCGTTTGTTTGTGTGCATTTCTGTTTACCTGGCATGTTTGAATTTCCTCCTGCAGGATGCTTCAAGAAGATCCTGTACTTTTCCAGCTGTACAAAGACCTCGTGGTGAGCCAAGTGATCAGTGCTGAGGAATTTTGGGCCAACCGGTTAGGAGGCATGAACAACGGAGAACCTGCACCTTACAGCAACAAACAGGATGTTGGTATATCTGGAGCATTTCTGGTAAGTACATATGCTTTCCAATGTTTTCAGTATTAATAATAAACTCCTCATTTAAACTTGTTGTGTTTCTTCTTTTCAGGCCGACATTAGACCTCAGACTGATGGCTGTAATGGTTTGAGATACAATCTGACAGCTGATATCATTGAGTCCATTTTTAGAACTTATCCTGCAGGTAAACAAAAACTATTAAACATTAAAGTTATAAGCAGTATTGACTGTTAATAAAAGGACTATTATTTCCAAGCTGTTTTAATAATTGAACTCAAAGACCAATAAAATAAACTGTAGAAGTTTAGTTTGTTTTCTGAGATAAATTACTCAACAGATGCTCTTCATAAAGTTTACAACTTTACAATAGCTTGACTCAAATGTATTTGTACTGGCCTGTGTTTTACTTGCAGTGAAGCAGAAGTATAGTGAAAATGTGCCTCACAACCTGACGGAGAAAGAGTTCTGGACCCGCTTTTTCCAGTCGCATTATTTTCACAGAGACCGCATCAGTACGGGGATGCAGGATATTTTCACAGAGTGTGCCAAGCAGGATGAGAAAGGTAGTTTAAGACACTTTCCAGCACTGTTTGTATATATATTATTTTATTTATGTAAAAAAAAAACACACAGGTCCACAATATTAATTTGCTATTTGTTGTTCACAGGTTTAAAGTCTTTGGTGAATCAAGGCGTGAAGAATCCTTTGGTTGACCTGCTCTCACTGGAAGATAAAACATTAGATGAGGTGAAATAAGTGTCGAGCAGAGAGCGAAACAAATTTTACAACTAAATTCTTTCAAATCATTTTTACTTTTCAAACCCTTTTTTGTGACAGGGTTATGGAATTAGCACAGCTGTACCCTCAACCTCTAATGCCAACAAGACGGTGAAGGAAAGCAGCAACTCTGCGATTATCAAACGATTCAACCATCACAGTGCCATGGTGCTGGCAGCAGGCTCGCGCAGGGGGTAAGGAGCATCGTTTTTAACTGAACTAATGATGGTGCCATCATCTTCCTGCTAACCGTGTCCTGTCTGAAAGGGATGCGCCAACTGACCAGGCCAGCGAGACGAGCAGCACAGACGGAAACTCAAGAGATTCCGACTTTTTTCAGCCGCCTCTTAAGAAGGTATGGCAGCTCTGGATGTTTGTTGCAGAGTTTTGACGTATTGTTTTACGCTCTACAAGGATTTGAGTTCACTTTTCTTCTTTCTTTAGGTAAAACTACAAGAAGCCATAGAGTATGAGGATCTGCAAAGGGAAAACAAACCAAAAATGGTTGCATTAAACCTGAAGAAGTCTGACAGGTACAGTTTGTGTGCATTTCACTTTGAACCATTTTATTGGTTTGCTTGAATACGTACTGTAATTTCTGCCGTACTTGTCGCACCGCCCTATAAGTGGCATCAGTCCAAATATGTCTAATAAAGTGGAAAAATCCATAAATATGTTGCTTTGCCGTATATGTTGCATCTATTACACATCACAGCTGACAACCCGGAACCATGCACCGGTGTTGTGCCAAAAATCGATTGGCTGCCAAATGGCGGCCGCGGGAGCGTGCACAGGAGGACTTTAACAAGGATTTAATAAGATAAACACCTAAAAGTAATTCTTTGTTTGCTCGAAATTATAGTAAAAGTGTGTCTCAGTCTAACTTTTGCTTAATAAATGCACTTTAATGGTCAAATCGCCTGCATTTCAAAAGTATTCGCTGCCTCAGTGCTCCGGGAGTGTGCAGTCAGAGAGGAAAAAGGAAGGAGGAACGCTGCACGTTTCTTCGAAATTTAACAAGAAAAGCACCTAAAACAATTATTCATTTGTTTGCTCGAAATTATAGCAAAGGTTTGTCTCAGTTGAACTTTTACTTAATAAATGCATTTTAATGGTTAAATTAGCTGCATTTCGCCGGGGCGGTGCAGCAAAATGAAGCTGAGCTCCAAGCAGCGAGCAGAACGAAGGTGGGGGAATATGGCAAGCTGAATGAGTCATTAATAGCTGGTGATGATTTTCAGTCATCCAGGACATGATGATAAATTCAAAAAAGTTCAAGATAAAAATAATAAAGTATAATAAATAAAGTCCAGTTGCTTTTGTCTTTAACTTTGAATTTGTCATTATAGCCACGTTTACCTATTACATGATACAACATTCGTCATTATCTGCATCATTTTTTGTCTATATTCTGATTTACCTCATTTTGTATTTTGCTTTGTGTGTTACCTGTTGTTTTGTCTGTACAGCACTTTGGTTGGCCTTGTTGCAGTTTTAAGTGCTTTATAAATAAAGTGGTATGGTATGGTAACATTGTGCCATAACTACTACTACTCTGCTGCCATCAAGTGGCTGAAAGTGGTACTGCTAAAAAAATTCTGTCAGAATGAGTTAAAATGGTTATATCTCAGTGAAAATTTGTTTTATAAATATGGGGAAAAATCCATAAACATGTTGCTTCGGCCTGTAAGTCGCAGGGCATGTAAATTATGCAAAAAAACTGCCACTTATAGGCCGAAAAATACGGTAGTTTATTCCAGTGTTTTTCAAAGTGGGGACCGCCAGGGGGGCACTAGGGGGTCCTCAAAAAGCTGGAGAGAAGATTTTAAAAAAGCAACTAAAAAAAATTTAAATAAAATTTTACTTTTTTTAAACTACTGTAATGAAATCAAATCTATTTTTCAATAGTAATTTTAAAATATATTTTATAATAATATATTGGAATATTTTTCAGCATTGTTCATCTTTCTGATTGGCTGCCAGTCAAATGTATCAAGCTGCTTTACTCTGCAAGCATAGCAAGGACGAAATGAAGAAGTTTCTAAAAAAGACTGAAGGAACTGACCCGCAGCCCTGCTGTGGTGGAAACTGATGCAACAAACAAATAATTCATGGCCAGCTAAAATTTGAGGTATGAGGAACATTAAGTATGGCTTTACAGTCATACAGGAAAATGGCCACGATTGCCCAAAATGTGTCGTGTCTGGGGATCCTCACAAATGTTTAAATCCTTTGAAACTTCAGCTCCACTTGAGTGAGAATATAATAGTGTTTAAAACATGTTAGTTAATAACATTTTTATGCTCAGCAGCTGTAATAATTAATTGAATATAGTGAATAAAAGTTCAAACGTTCTAAAAGTTGATGTTTCTTTACATATTTTGTAGCATTGTTTGTGGGTTTGCGAGAGGAGCCTTGGCCAGAAGCGAATGCTGTTTGGGGGGGCCATGGCATGGAAACGTTTGGGAACCCCTGGTGTAGTCTACCAAATCATCTCACAAATTTCTCTTAAATGCTAAACTGATGTTTGTGACATGAAGCTGCTGATTTTTTATCAAATTAGTGAAGCCAGTTGACGTATTCCTCCAAACAGAGCTCTGTTTGTGATGTTTCATTGTAAAAAGTTACAGGACTGAATTACAGCAGACTGGAGTCGTTGTATTCACTGTACCAGGAAATATTTGGCTGCTCCCTGGCTGCGAGACAGCGCCTGCTATCTTTCCACAGTTCAAAACATTTTAACATTCTGTTCACACCCTGCATGCTGCCTGTTTTTCTTGTTATTTTTGGGCAGACATTAAAATTACTTCAAACCATAAACCCAAGAGCAGCTTCTCATGCCTTCTGTTGCTTGGTTTACACAAACATATTGTAGAAGTGCCACATGTCTACATTCAATCAGACCTATCATTGTGACACTTGATGTATATATAAGTGTACAGTATTCCCTCGCTACGCCGCGGTTCATTTATCACAGACTCGCTCTATCACGGTTTTTCAAAATAAGGTTGGACATGACACACAATTGGCTGATTGATGGATGAGCTGCACGATCGGTGTGGAATTTTTATTTAAAATAAATTATTTAAAATTGTGTAGCACCTGCTGCACATTTGTGCAGCCCATACTGCAGGACAAACTTCCTGCTGCAGCTGATCTCCGTGCAGAGCTGAGAAGTGGGCGTGGCCAAGAACGCTTGCAGGTGGCAAAGAGCAGAGGAGGCAGAGAAATCATGACATTCTGTGTGATTTTAGAGCGTTTAGAGTTTAGAAGCATAGTTTAGAATATTGCAAGAGTGTGGGAAGGGTTTTAAACACCTATATATATATATATATATATATATTAAAATAAACTACTACTTACACTATTCCTACTTCGTGGTTTTTCACTTATCGTGGGGCTTCAGGGTGCGGATCCTCCGCGATAAACGAGGGACTGCTGTATACTTTATTATTTTGGGTGTAACTGGGATCCTGTGTACACAATTTCATTCCACCTCATGTACCA